TTTCTTTTTTTTTTCTTTTTTCATTCTCTTTACATTTACGTTTAGAATATAATTTGCATGTTACAAATATATTTTATAATTAATCCTTTCGTTGTGGAGCGCCTAAAAATGAAATGCTCAACAGCCAGCACATAAATCAAATTCACGGCGCCATAAGGCGCTGTTCGCTTAGGAGAAGTGTCCATAGTTGAGCGCCAAAAGGTGCTGTTCGCTGAGAGAAAGCGTCTATAACCGAGCGCCAAAAGGCGCTGTTCGCAGCGAAAGGGTTAAATGTATTATTGCGTGATATATGTAATATGCATATATATATGAGCTGTTTATTTTGAAATTGGCCTAAAATGTATTTGTTAATTATTATTTTTTGATTGTCTGTAATTAAAAATTACCTGTAATATAAGTAGAGTGTATTAGAATATTGAAATAATTGTTAAATAATCGATGAGAGTGTCTATTGTTGTATAAAAGTTCGGAGTATATGATTTGTGTCTTCTTCTAGATTCAATTGCAGTCTGGCACATTGTTTTCTATCAAAATACTCTTATTAAATGTTGTTACCCCTTTCCTCACCCCTTTCCCACCTTCCGATCCGATTCTTAGTCTATTCAAGTAACTAACTACCGTTGTACACATGCGCGACATTTGAAAAGTCATATAAACAACATTTAATATAAGTTTGATGATAGAGGACAACGTGTTAGTCTGAAGGTGAATTTCGAAGAGGACGGTTCTCCTGACATATACCCGGTGCTTTTAAGGTACAATATACATTTCTTTCGATTAATTAATAATTATTTTAATATTGTAATACATTTAAACTTATATTACAGGTAACTTTTAGCATTGAAATCATCACTGTGCAGGAGTAATAAAATAATTACATTATATATATTACACAATAATTAAACAGTAGGATTCATTACGTATATTTTGAATTGTATTAAAATGCAAATCCTTTTAATATTTCGATTCGAATATAAATGCAGTTAGGCCACTTTGAAAATAAATGACCCATATATGTGTATAGTATTATACTGAGATACATTATTGAGTATAATTCATAATAGAAATGAAGTGTAATGATCGAACTTGTGTGCGTGCATTGAAAAAATTAATGAAAAATTGATTATTTTATAGTTGAAAATAATTTTGTAAATCTATAGACTCTTGATTTCTCCATCGTGTATGTCTGCAAAGGAACAACAAATCAATGGTACGTATAATTATTGCAATTAACTGAAATTAATTTACTCACAATTTTGGTAAATCTTTGATGTATAGCACTTTTTGATTATCATCTATTTTGTAATCCTCCATTTTACATTTTTCTTGCCACGCTTTCGTAGTTTTACACAATGTCGAAGTGTTTGTATTATTTAATTGATATTTCCGTAATATTCTAAATTTGTTTTGTCGAATTTTATTCGTACGCGATAGTTGCATTCTTCTTTTTCGAACGTATTCCTCATCCTGTTTCCTTTAATTATTATTGAAAAAAAAAACAAAAAAAATTATTTTATTTATAAATCAAATAAATTCGTTTTGTACGGTAATGCGTACTAGACGTACCTAAATTCTTTCATCAAAATCGGATTAAAATTTCGAATATTTTTTAATTCTTTTGTCGAATTTTCTATAAATTTATCCATCGATTTTTTATTTCTATAATTTTGTAAACTTTCTCGCATATTTTCTATTCTATTTCGTGTACGTTTTTCATCCAATGCTCGTTTAGATTCTAATCGCAATTTTGATTCTTYTTCTTCCATCATTCGTTTCTGTTCTTTTTCTAATTTCCACTTTTGGATTAATTCCTTTTTATTTAAATTGTCATCATTAACTACCTTGGATTTTTGTTCTTTGTCGTTTAGTTTATTTTTATTTACAACATTCGAAGGAGAGTTTACAATTGATTGATTTTTTTCATCAACAATTTGTTCATTTTGTAATTTTGCAACTTTTTTCAATTCCTTTCTATTACGCCATTCTTTGATTTTCAATCTTTGCTTTTCTCGTAATTCGAGATATAATTTGTACCAAGTTTCATGATTTATTATCGTTTCTATCGTCAAATCTGGACACTTTTTTCTAATCGCGTTAACCAATGTTGGTACATTTTTACACTTTTTTCGCATTTTTAAAAATAACGAATGATCCTCGTCGCTCCAATGTTGAGTGTAACCTTGGAATGAAATAAAATTTCGATTTAAATTTTTCTTGCAAAATGTCAGGACACGTTTAAATTGAATTTAGAAGCACCTGTTTTAACGATCAACGTATGAAAATCTTCGATCTCTTCGTAATCATCGTAATTCTCGTGATTTGTTTTCTTATTTTTATTAATAGAAGACAAATCAATGGTTGATGATTTGTTTGATGTATTAACTGAATTATATTTATGTAAACGCGATGAAAATTCTTTTAAATCGGCATCCAATTCAATTCCTTTTTCGGTCAATGTTTGAAGAGGACAAGTATTTTTAAAATTGTCCAGTTTTTTCGATATTCCGATTAGTTTTGATTTAAATTCATTGACATCTAAATCAACGATTAAAAATATTTATTTCAATTGATAAGTTGATACTCAAATTTATATGAAATTTATTACCTAATTTCTGTATTTGTTCGGGATCGGATATGATTAGTTTAACTGCTTTCATATCGTTACTAATATCAGAAATAGTTTTACGTACAGTTGAAAAAATATTTTGTCTATACAATAGAAAAACAAAGGTTATACAAAAAAAAAAACCTTGAATATAATGAAATATTATAAAAATATCGAACGTACCTTTTTACAGACAATTCTTTCTCATCTCTCGACAAACTTTTAATAACATCAGCATCGAGTTTCATATTGTCTATCAAATTAACAAGTCCCCTTTCTAAAATATATTCCTGATTTTTTAATTTCATTAAACCCTTCAAATAATCCGATTTTTGAAGTTTTTTTATTACCGACTTTACTTTGTTTTCTTCAACATTACTTTCACCATTTTCTTTTTGCATATTCATATTCGATTAATATACACAAATATATAAAAAAAAAAGTAACAGAATTATTTATAATTAAAAGAGTTTTTCGATCTGTTATTGTGCGTTGGAAAGCGAACGACTGTGCGTGCATAGCACGTGCGTTTCCATGGCAATTTATATTCCGATTTACGAAAGGTGGGGCTTACACACCTGCTCTTTATAAAACGACACATATAAAGTTATAAAAAAAAAAAAAATATAAAAATAATCTACACAAATATATTTGAATTTGAATGAAATAAAACGAATAATAATATCGATGATATTTCAAAAAATTGTTTAATCAAAAACAAGGTAAAAAAGTAAACTGCATTATCGACCGCACTTGAAGAAGTTGTTCTCGTTTACCGACAGATTAATCACGCTCCCTCTTATCGACTAATTGCATCTGTCCAGTGGCGCTCTCTAAAACGTTAATGGTAGATCGTCAACCAATCGGAGACGGAGGATGTTCGTTCGGCTTTGAAAACGCAGCATTTATACGGGTGGACTGTACGTAGGCGCTTCAGTCTCTGGTTGGGACGCGAAAGTTTAGGAGTGTGGCTTTACGAACGGATCCTCGGATTTACGCGAGGCGCTGCTCATATACACAGAGAGAGAGAGAGAGAAGGAGAGAGAAAGATAGAGAGAAAGAAATAGATAGATAGAATATATACACAACACATAACAGAGAGATAGATAAAGTCCCCCGATCATATCATAGTTGAGATACAACGTTTACGTTAAACTCGCAGATGCAAAACAAGGAAAAGTTCGAAATCGAAGAGGACAAGGAAGAATCAGGAAATTTTTTCTAACATCGACGATTTCAATCTTTACTTTGCAATTATTGCAATTTGCAAGTTTATCTTTTTTGTAACTTTATTCTGATCGGTCTAAATCATCGTCAACAATTCCTTGTCAACAACAACAACAACAACGACGACGACGACGACGATTTAACATCGTCTTGTCGTCTTTTTCTTTTCTTTTCTTTTTTCCTTCTTCTTCCTCTTTTCTCTCTCTTTATTTTTGAACAAAAAAAAATAACATTCGATAATTGAGCGACGCGATTATTAAAATACGAAATGTTAACTGTCGTCACATGTCGGAAAATTTCGTGATGTAGGCATTCGATCAATCGTAGTGATATACAAGAACAAAACTCCTGCTCGTGGTTATTAAACTTCGACGAAGAGTTATCATTGTTATATTATTGTTCGAACGAGACGCGATTATAATCTTTATTTTGTTTATTTGTTTTTTTTTTTTTTTTTACATCAACGATTCGATGAATATATGTATATATATATTGGATAATATTCCGCTGTGATTTATGCGATCTTAATTATTTTTTTCGTGAATGTACATCAACTACAACTACACCTGAGGATCCAAGCTTGCCAACAAACATTCACGCGTGAGTATATTTTTATTTTTTTGTATATCACATTTTTTTACGATCGATGTAACAAAATTAAGGTTTAATTAAATCACCGGAACATTTTTAATTGGCATCTCTAGCATTTGAATACGCTATCTGGTGACTAAATTCAATATTAGTGTAAATAGGTCGAATTGCTACTAAGCCCACGTGGTGGGATCTCTAGCAGTTGAATACGCTATCTGGTGGCTAAATTCAAAATTACAATAGATAGGTCGAATTTGCTAAGCCACGCCCCTGCCTGCCAGAGATCCCAATATCCAAGATTTTTCACCTTTAATTTAAACGTTGAATAGAGTTAACTTGATTAACGTAGTAATTAATTAACTTGATCATCGTATTCAATTGTTTTCTATTTAAACATTAGATTTTATTACTCGTTCGTTTTGTTTATATTCTCCCGTGAACTTTCTTCTCGTGTTCTTCCTAAAGTTCGTACATAAATAATGAAAGAATGGAATGTTTGAGTTTGCGTGGAAGGAATAATCGAAGAAAGAGAGAAAGACTACTACGTTGTTCAGTTTTCAGATGAAAAAAAAGAAAAAAAAACATCGTTGAAATACTTGTATTTGTGTTTTTGAAAAATTAATTGAATTTATTTATTCAAACAAACAACAACAACAGATTACACGGTAGATATGTTTTTTTACTTTGACGTAAGTTGAACTATTTATTGTTGATATTTTATTAGAATCTGTTAAATCAAAGTTCTCATTTAATTACATAGCAAATTACATGGATATAAAATATATGGGGATAATCATGAAAATGTTAGTCTTAAATCTTACCTTAGAAACAACAAAAGCGTTAAAGGTGATAGTAATAACAGTTGTGGTAGTATTGTATTAAGATTGTGGTATTAGGTTTATACAGTAAGTATTTAAAATAGGTATCGTGGAAAATAATGGCGGGAATGATCGTGACTCGGAAAAGTCTCTCTCTTACATAGGATTAATACGGCAACTTCAAAAGCGTGCCGATTGAAATTCGAGATAAGGAAATCTCGTGCACTAGGATTAGAGAATTAGAACGGGCCTGGTTTATGAGAGCTCGCTCGGGATGTGTCATTATCTCGTTTCTTCAACGAATAGAAAGGAAGCGACTTATATACATACTACTACTTACGTATATAGAACACACACACACACACACACTATCCATCTCTCTTTCTCATTATTATAATGTTGACTCGGGCGTGTAAGTTTGACCTCGTAGATACGTTTCATTTCTTATTTACTAGATTTAATTAATGAGTATTGCAATAGAAAAATAACATACATTTATATGAATATTTATATTGATTTGATAATTTATACACACGTATACAACATATGCATAATGCAGGGTTGAAAGTATTTGAACTTTAATTCAAATACTGTATATTTGTTGTCATTTCATCGATTAGACTAAGAATTGCAAATTTATTAAGTATCAGAACACATTATGTAATTTGTTTTTAAAAATGTATTATATAAGTGTGTGAATGTTTGGGTCACCTTGTATATGCATATTAAGTCGCGATGCTGTAACGATAGATACGAGGAAGAGAATTTTTATTGAATTGAACAATAAAGCTTTTGCACGCCTTGCACCCACAAATAAAGGACGGATCGTATCGGAAGTATGTGTGCAAATTATCTTTGTCGATTTATACGGTAAATAATTGTAACTTTAATATCATTTTGCAAGCTAGTTTTTTTTTTTTTTTTTTAACAATTATCTCTCTTTTTCTATTTGTGTTTTATTTTTTAATTGTCAATTTAAACTTGATCGAATGACCACGATTATTTGTCTAGGATGAACGTAATAATATTGTTTTATCATACCTTCATTTATTCGATTATTTTGTTGAAATTTTAATTTTTTTTGTGTGTAAAAAAATAATCAAAGTTTTGTTTAAAAAGAGGATTTTATAATATTTGTTTTTTTTTTTTTCGTATTTTACAATATAATGAATAAATGCACATCGTGAGTTTTATACAGCATTGTTTAAATACGAGAAATACAAAATGTAAATTCAAAAGAGAAATTAGTAGTCGTAACTGACGATTATGCCAACGGGTAGGTTTCGTCAGTAATGACTCGATAACTCGATAATGATTGTATTTGCTAGAACGATTACTTTGAATAGTATCGAAGGTGGAAAGCTCGACGAGTGGTGGAATGAACGACGACGATCGATGTAAATTACTGTAGAAGAAAATTAGAAGGAAATGAGAAAATCAACACAATTTCTCAACGTTCTCTTCTTGTTTGTTTGTTTGTTTTTTTTTTTAAATTTAAATAACAAAAATTTGAAAAAGAAATTAATCTAACGAATAGGATATACCAGGGATCGGCAACCTGCGGCTC